CTGAGGAAGACTGGCCCTGGGCTAACATCCATGCCCATCCTCCTCCACTGTATATGGGATGCCGCCACAGCATGGCTTGCCAAGCAGTGCTTCGGTGCACGCTCAGGATCCAAACCGGCGAACCCTGAGCCGCTGCAGCGGAGCACGTGCACTTAACCGCTTGCGTTACCGGGCTGGCCCCCAAAACGTTACTTTTAATGGGAGAGGATGAACAATAGGTTATAATTAGACAGACCTGGATTCAAATCCCACCTCTACCACATGTAACTTTGGGCAAGTTATTTAGTCTTTTTGAGCTTGGTTTTCCCAATCTGTAAGGAGATAAGAATATTTACCTTAAAGAGTTGTTATAAGAATTTAATGATACATTAGTTCTTGGAATTGTGTGGTACTCAGTTTATAATAAGACCCAGCATTCTCCAGGAGAGGATTTTTCTTTCAGACAACACATACAGAATTCACTAGCAAAGAAAGTCATTACCTACCCAGAAGCATGCAGGAGGGCAATAAGCACCTCAGCTCTTAGCACGGCTTCCTGATTGGACAGAGATACAGCTTCCAAAGGTGTACGGGGAAAAAACCCTGTACTTGTTGGATCATTAAAAAAAAAAGCCTCCCTAACCTTGCATTAACCCACACAGGACTAGGTTACCACCCAAACCTTTAATATATGAAGTGAAGAACTGGCACCCTTCGGTGACTGGCTGCTTACAACTTTCCCAGCTTCCTCATTGATACAATATGGATAATAAATGAGTTAATATGGGTAAGTGTTTAGAACAGCACTTGGCACATGGTGACTGCTGTGCAAATGTTGGCTACTTGCAACAGCAGTAGGAGCTGCAGCAGCAGCAAGTTCCAAATTTAATTGTGTCAACGCATATTTCAAACTCAGACAGGCATTCTTAGTTCTATACCATTTCCATTTCTTATTTCTTAGTGTTACCTGTATTTCTGATGGAGTAAGGCCACTTTTTGGGTTGCTTCTTCCAATACCTTTTCATCTTGTAACCACCCCTGAAGAAAACACACTGCAGTGAGCATGTAAACAAGTCACCCAATTTCTTAGGAAGAATTATTGCTACTGACTCTTGTCACTATCAGGCAAAATTAGGACTAGCATTAATATGTGGGAGCTCTGCTTAAGTACGTAATGATGATCTTTCACAGGAATTAAGTGGCTTCTGCTCAGGAGCCAAAACTCTTGCCCTGCCTTCTGAATTCATCCCAGAGAGTTTCAGCTGAGTTATTTCAGGTTGTTAACATGCATCAGCCAGTTCTGAGCCCAGCACAATAACATCTTGTACATTCCCTGGCTTGCTGTGTAGATACTAAGAAGAGCATACCACCTCCCTTAGTTGTTCCACTGCACAGTTTTCCTGTCAAATCCATCAGTAGTAACTTAAAAAAAGTAGAAGGCAGTGTCTTTTTGCCATCTACTTTTTAAATTGCTGATGAGAAGCAAATTCTTTTCAACATAACTTTGCAAGGTTTTGAGGCTTCAGTTAAAAGCAAAACCTCTGCATAGTTCCTCAGAAGCTGGAAGGAATCCCTCTCTTTAGATTCACATCCAAACACAAAACAAATTTCTCTGGCCACAGCCCAGTGACTATAGACCCTTCAGTTTCTGTGGGTTTACAAGGACCAAGATGACTACAACAGGGGAAGCATCTACACTTGCGTTGTTTCTAAGAGGGAATTGATTTTTTAACACTATTCCTGCCTAGTAAGTCTACCATATGGACTTCATTTCAGGGATTACTAAGGGTATAGAAATAAACTGTTTATAAAAAGGCCCAATGTCAAAAGAAGTCTTACCACAGGAAACAAGGCAAATTTCTGAAGAAAGTCCTGGGATTCATACTGATCAAAGTCACCAAAATCAGCTAGACAGAAATGACAAATATTCACATCAATTATGTTTAATTTGCATAGCAAAACATGCAAAACCAAATTCAATATGCAATATATAGATAGTGTGCTTATGACTTAGAAGTCAAATTTGCCTTACAGCTATAAAGTGTATATTTTAAAAATATCTTTTTAGAAACGTTAATTAGGTAGCTTCATGTATCTTGACTTGGAAAAATGTCTATTAATAAAGTGAAAAAACAAATTACAAACTATATATAATATGGTCTCATTTTTATAATTAAAATACAAAAAAAACCTACCCTGTAATCATGTATGCTTACTTACGCACAAAAAAATGTCAGGGAGAAACCAAACTGCTCACAGTAGTGATTACCTCTAGGGAATGGAATTAGATCATTTGACTATGTTACAGGAAGATGTATTTGTCTAGAAATTTTTAATTGTTAAAAAAAATTTGATAGTTCAACAAAAATCTTAGGAAAAACTGACTCTCAATGCCAAAGATGACACTTAAGAAGACTCGAAGTACCTTGAAAAGGAATGCGGCTCCATGGGTATCAGGTATTAGTTTGTCTAGAAATGATAGATGTCCCCTTGCCTGCTAATATCTGAAGGAATTTTATTAATGATTCTTCTGATTAAATTTCAATTCCCAATATTAAATGCCAGTTACCATTTGAAATAATGCCACATAGGAAGTCTTCCCAAAGTATATACATACACCTAAATATATATAGATTAGACGTGTATAAAGTGACAGAATTAAACAATTCAAAGTTACTTGCGAAATGCAAAACTTCATCTATTATGATTGACAATGCTCTATAATCCAGGACGACTGTTTAAGAAACCAAACAAATGATGTATGCTTAAAGTATAAGTGAACATAACCTCATTGGCCTCATTGTTTGGCTGATCTTTATTCCTAAACTATTAGCTAGCAGCAGATCAAGTCTTTGAACTAGAGGGGAATACATAGCATATTAAATGCTATATGTGTGTGTGTGTGTGTGTGTGTGTGTGTGTGTGTATTTTTTCTCTATTTTTGGTCTGTTTGCTCTGTTCACATATAATAACATGCTTAACCTTCCAGAAGTCTCATTTCATTGAAGCAATCCAAATTCAGTTTTTCCCACAAGGAAGCCCCTTAGACAACAGAATAATATTTCACTAACATATAAACACTACTATAGGAAGTCAGTTACTTTAAGAATCCCTAGCTGTTTTTGTTACAGCACACATTTTAATCTGACAGATCTATTACATTATCCATTGCCATTATTTACCTTGAACAGCTAATCCTGCTAGCTGAATTGCTTGTTCTAATGTACAAGGAATGTTTCCTTCCAAGATATCTTTCTTCAGCTGCAGATAATACTGATATCTATAAAAAAAATGTCAATTTTAAGAAGTCAATATCAATATTACTTCCAATTTAGACACAACAGTTTTTACTATAACTTGCTAGAGGAACATAAACTAGTCAAATAAAACCTTAACCCCAGATGGTTTCAAAGAATGACAAGAATGTCCTTGACCATATCTACAACCACAAACACACACACACACAAAATGTAATCAGTTTATTGAGTCATTTACCTTTAACTGTAGTTAGTTCAAAGCTGCAACCATCTAGAAGACAACTGGTCATCTGTCTTATGCCATGTAATACAGTCCCTAAGTTTTGTTATTTTTAGTTGGAGAAACAGAGAATCAATAGCTAATCTTTACTTTAAAAGCTCTGACTAGTAACTTGATAATATAAGACTTTGCTTCCTCTGGTGGAAGTTCCCTAGCCCTGGAACATAAAACCAGAGGAAAACGGTTCCTGATATTTCAGACCAGGCTTATATTAAAAGATATTTTGATAAAATCCCAAAAAGAATAGCTGCTAAGATGCTTTCCTAATATTCTTGTAAAGTGGGTTTACTTCTGTTTACACTTTCAATATATAGGGTACTAGTTACTAGCATAAGCTTTAGTAAAGCAGACCTAGGTTAAACTCCAGCTTTCCAACTTAGCATTTTGTATGAACTTGGCAAGTCATAATCTGTGGGTTTCAATCACCACTGGTAAAACTAGGATACTATCACCCCTTCACAAGGCTGAACATATTCAAGGAATATATGTAAAGCTCTTAGGACAACATTAGAACATAGCTGGCACTCAATAAATAGTAGCTGTTATCATTATTATCTACAATCTCTACTTTAAGCCAGTCAGCAATATTTCATCTGTAGCACTTCTCCATTTTGATAAAAGCTCTACAGTGAAGATCTGTTCTGCCTTCCTTTTATTTATTCACTTAACAGGTAATTACTAGGGCCTACTGTGCATCAACCATTGCTCTAGATGCCAGGGATACGGTGTTGAACGAAGATCCACCAACTCTCTGCTACAACAGTCTACAGAGCCATCTCTTCCAGGTTTGGTATCTGTGAAGCGCAACCCAGTTACAGTTCATGCGTGAATTCCCCCGAGAGCCCATCCTTTAATCATTTCATATGTGTCCTTACATGATCCTCTGTTATTTTAGCTAGCTTTGAGGTCTCCATTCTTTGTTATCAAAGAATCTGACCAAAACACCATCCATTCGGATAAGAAGAATTTAGATCCCATGTATCCCCTTCCACTTGCTAGCGGCAGAATCCACAGATTTCCCCCAATCAGCAAACAGAATGCTGGTATCTCTGGGATTGTCAAAGAGAAAAACTTGAAACTTTCTACTAGGCAGTTCCTTTCAAAAGCATATTTGTAGAAGATTATATCAGAGAAGTCTACTGAACACACTGTCCACATACTCCACTCTACACATTCTAGATTCTTTCCTTCCATCAAATCACTGGAAAGCAACATACCTGGACCAAATCAATTAGCCTCCCACAGAAATTTTTTTTTTTCTGCCTTACATTATACTTTTGCTGTTATAAGAATTGATCCTTCCACATTTGCTCTAAATTGTTCATTGCTATTTCAATGTCTTTTACATACAATCCCACCTGAAAATTTCCTTTTAAATGATATACCAGGAAGATGTGTCATGTTTGCAAACTGGTATGCTTCTTTTTATCAGATAACGAATGATGGGACTCATGATATTCCCTCTTTTGCCTTGATACTATGAAGCTCAGCTAAAATCCAGGCATAGCCACAGTCACTAATATCCCTCTTGTTCCCCACTAAACCACTTTCTCCACCATTTAATAATAGCCACCTTTTTTTTTTTTTTTACTGATGAGGAGCTGGAGCTCAGAGATTAAGTAATATGCTCAAATCCACAGAGTTGGCTGAGCTGGAGCTTGAATCCAAGTCTGAATGACCCCAAACCTCATGTTCTTAACTATCACAAATCTCCAGTTATGGATTTCTCTAGTATTTTTATCATTTTTTTTAGTATTTTTATACTCGAGTCCAAAGAATACAAAGGTTGAGAGCAAGGACTCAGGAGCCAGCCTGCTAGAGTTTAAACCCCAGTTCCACTGCATACTAGCAGTGTGACCTTGGGCAAAGTAGTTAGCCTTTCTGTGTCTTGGTTTCCTCATTGACAAAATGGACAGAAGAGTACCAACTTTGTAGGATATGTTGTGAGGATTAAATGAATTAATATGTATAAAGTACTTGGGACAGTGCTCAACACACAGCAAGAAATGTTAAGTGGTTGCTTTTATTATTATCTTTCATTGTATTGTCCCTAACATCCTTTAATGGATGCAAGCGGGGGTGTGTGTGTGTGTGTGTGTGTGTATTTTTAAGTATTTACTGTAAGAAAAGACCAAGAAATTTTACTTCAAAGGTATTATTACTTTCTGTTAACAAACACCTTTTGCTAAAATTTTAATATGTTAGTGGCTAAGGATGATTTACAAATATGTTCTTTCAATATTTATTACAAAAAGAATAATTAACTAAAAACAATACAGTAATAAAATGTAACATGCAAACTTGAATTCAAAACGGTTTGTAAATCGAGGAATAAAAGAGACTGCACATCTTAATTCTAAAGCAAGCAGTTCATAAACTTGCCCAAAAGCCAAATACACTGATTAAAACTAAATATTATTGGGCCGGCCCCATGGCTTAGCGGTTAAGTGAGCACGCTCCGCTGCTAGCGGCCCAGGTTTGGATCCTGGGCACACACCAACGCACCGCTTCTCCAGCCATGCTGAGGCTGAGTCCCACAGACAGCAACTAGAAGGATATGCAGCTATGACATACAACTATCTACTGGGGCTTTGGGGGAAAAATAAATAAATAAATAAAATTATTTAAAAAAAACTAAATATTATTTAGTTTTAATATTCTCACACAAAAAAATATTACATTAAATAATTATAATAAATTAGGTTGCCCCATTTTGTACAACAGAAATTTCAAATAATATGTAAAGAGGTAGGCTTTTTTCTTCACCTGTTTTTCTTAGGCTAGTAACAGAAGACTAATGCATTGAACTTTTTTTTTTAAGTTCGTATTTGGAAATTTTTATTTTTCCAAGTTTTATTATGGAAATTTTGAAACAAATACATAGAGAAGTACAATGAACCCCCATATCCTTATCATGCAACCTCACCAATCATCAACTTTATGTCCGTCATCTCTCCTTTATCCTCTCCCCTTCCCCTCCTCCGAGTGTTTCACAGCAAATCCCAGATATCATACTATAGCACCTACAAATACTGCAGTATATGACCCTAAAAGGTAAGCTTTAAAAAGAACATTAAATAACCACATTTTTAATATACCCAACAAAATGCACAATGCCTTAATACTATCCAATACCCAGTCCACATACAATTTTTGTGATTACCTCACAAATGTGTTTTTACAGTTTTTTTAAAAATGAGGATCTAAACAAAGTCCACAGATTACATATGATTGATATTTCTAAATCTCTTTTAATTTTAAGAGAGAAAGATTCTTCCTCTTTATTTTCATGTTACTTACAGACAAAATGGGGTGATCTGTCATGTAGAACTTCCCACATTCTGGATTTGTCTGATTGTACTCTCGTGGGGTCATTTGACATGTTCATCTATTCTCCAATTTTTCCTGTAAACTAACTGTTAGATCTACACCGGTGCTGTATAATAGAACTTTCTGCCATGATAAAAATAATGTACCTCTATGCTGTCCAATATGGTAGCCATTAGTCACACGTGGCTACTGAGTACTTAAAATGTGGCTAGTGTGACTGAGGAACTGAGAAAGGCCCCTTAAAGGAACACGACTTAGCTGAGAGTAGAACCTGTTTTGCCCTGCTGCTGCCTGAAATATGAATGTGATAGCTAGAACTTCTCTAGAATTCCTTGACTATGGCCTTACCTAGTGAATGGAAAGAACATGCTAAGGATAGCGGAACAGTAAGAGAGAAAGAGCAGGGGTGTTGAAGGCTTTGTGGAGCTGTCATATAACCTCTGCATGGCTGACCTCTGGACTTCTTCTACAAGAGAAGTCAAAGATATTTAGGGTTTTTTGTTATATACAGCCATACTTAATCCTTACTGATACAACTTCTCTATCAGGTTCTCCTACATCTAGTCAACGTGCAACCCTTTTGATTGAATCTAACAGGTTCATTGTCTCTCAGCCCTTCCTACAGCTAATGCCTTTGTTCAGGTCCACATTCTAGACTAAGGCCTAGATTATGGCACACACATTCCTAACTGGTCTCCTGATTAGTCTTGCCACCCCTAATCTACCTTCCATGATGGGTGATCTTTGTAAAATGCAAATTTAATCACTCCAGTCCATTAATAAAAAATGTCTTTCCTCATTGTACCATGACTTTATGACTGGGACATTCCTATTTTTCAAATCTCCTCTCCACTTTCTAGGTAATATCTGAAATTCCCTGAAAATATCAGTTGCTTTCACTATCTCTGCTACTTTGCAAAAGCTATTTCCACTAACTAGAAAATTTCTTCTAAAGTCAACTGAAAAGTCAACTTCTTTACCTTCCCTGTTCATGTTCCCCACACCCCACCACTGTGAATCCAGTGCTTTAATTAAAGCACTTATTATCATATTGTACTGTGATAGCTTGTTTACTCGACTGTCAGTTCCACCAGACTGTAACTCCTCCAGGATAGGATTAAAGCACTTGTATATTCATCTCCCACAGTAACCAATATAGTTCTTACATCATTATTCCATATTATATCTTCAATAAATGTTTAAATAAATGAGTCAAAGTGATCAGTGACTGTTTCTTCCTCCTGGCGTCTACTCTCTTCAATATTTATACCTTGGGTCTGTGTTATGGTCAGTGCATAGTTATCCCTACTACCTGACTCTTGCCTCTTTGGTTTTCCATCTTCTTCCAATTATTAACTGGAAAACTCAATATTTAAAAAGAACATTCCACAAACACGGGGCAGTACCAGGTTCTTACTATCTGCAGGGCACTGTGTTAAGATATTGTGCAAAAGGTAAAGCTAAAGAAAACATGGGTTTAAAATCTAAGAAAAAGATAAGGTATGTAAACAAATAACTATAATGAAAGGCTGTGACAACTGCCAACTTAACACAAGTACCAGCAAATTCTAGGACAGTCTGGAGAAGGCAAAACTCATTCCAGCCTGGGGGTCAAAGAAGCTTCATGGAGGAGGTGGCTTTGAACTAAAATTCAAAAGATGAATAGGATTCCAGTACATAAATATGAAAGAAAGATCTAGGATACAAAGATGAAAAGGCATGGGGCATGTTCAGGGCACTGGAAGTAGTCCAGCTTGGCTCAAAAGTAATGTTAAATAGAGTTAAAAAGATAAGGTAGTGGTGGATTTCAGAGACGTTTGAAAGGCAGGCTCAAAACTCCAAATTTTATTCCTTGTTTTTTGTTTTGTTTGTCTCCAAAAAATAAAAAATTTCATTCCTCTATCCTGCTCCTTAATATGATCTTCCCTCTCTGCCTCTGTCCCTTTTAAGTGCACTTATTGGCCTCCCCTTTTCCACCATCCATTCCCCGCCCGCCACCTATCTACAGAATACAGCCGCTGGAGTCAGAGAACTATAATAACTTCTGCACACTTCCTTGAGGAATGAACACAGATTTTGTGACTAATTTTTTTTAATCTCCTCTCTCATTTCATTGTTGAAATGAAATAAAATGATTTGTTGAAACAGATCAACAAAAAACATTAAAAGTGACATCAGTATAAGAAGAATTCACAGCCAGGGTTAAACTTCATTTTTCCCTTTAATCATTCCTTTATACCTAGTGAACCCATAACTCATGCAACAAACACGCAGTAAAACACTCTGACATACCACATACCAGAATCTCCATGTAATACTGTGGCTAAAAATGCAGAGCAGAAGGGCAAAGTTTATCTCCTGACTTCAACCTTAGTTTCACTTTTTTAATCTCACTAGATTATTTCCTAAAGACAAACAGCATGTTATTTCTCACCTGGTAATCTCCTGCTGCAGCTGTGAAACTGAAGGCACGTAAAACACCACTCCAAAATAGACGGTAGGCTCCAACGCGTACTTATCCAGCTGCTTCTTGAGAGGTTTTTCCAAATCTACCCATCGGCGCTGATTTTGCTTGTTGTAGTACCAGAGGCTGAAGTAAGTGATCTGGAAAGAGGGAAAGTCACTGGAGGAGGCAGACACGCACAAAAGGAGCTCAATACTTTAACTGCACCAATCCACGACTTGAGACCAAGTGACAGCAGTCTCCTATTGCTTCCCTTTTCAGAAAGGGACAATAGCAAAACCTGAAGGAAAAGAAGAGGCAAGATCTGTCTATATCTAGATACTCGTATTCAGGAGAAAGAGGCAAAAAGTCAATTACTCCTGTAGACTATTTCTTGAACTCTGCACAGAAAAATGCATTCATGGCCTAGACATCAGAATGTAGCAGGTGCTACACAATTTTACACCTAGTTTTTAACAAAAAAGCATATGCTGAAAAAAATGTTTAGTTTTTAAATTATCAAAATACTAAATTTATCATAATTAATATTTTATAATAAGTGTAACTGGGGTTCTACCTAGTAGAATTCTAACTAGATAGTGCTAATTCAACTTTTCACAACCCTTGAATTTGGCTTCTATACATAAATTGTTTCATGTAAATATTGTAGCTTCTAGTAATACAGATACAACTGCAACTCTTCTTTGCCCCCACAAGTTCATTAGATACCAATTTAAAACAACTGTAGGGGTCAGCCCAGTGGCGCAAGCGGTTAAGTGCACACGCTCCGCTGCGGCAGCCTGAGGTTCACGGGTTCGGATCCTGGGCGCGCACCGACACACAATTTG